CTTGTTCAATTTGTTCATTTACTAGCCCATTTTGAATAGATATTCTTGATTTTTCCCAATATTGACACATTTCTTTGATCTTCTAAATTGTTACACTAGCTTGAATCTCAATGGCTTGTTGAAACTTTGTTGATATGTTGGAATTTAAACTTTTCATTGCAGACAAGGAGTTCAATTAAATTGTTTTTTTTTAGATACTCAACGATCACAACTTAGTTTTGCCTTCTTTTTGTATGTGAACAATCTTTTTCTCAAATAGTCTTGGATGGAGTCAATTGATTAGAAATGGGATATTTTTTAGCTCATTTTGGTTGTCAACGTCATTTTATCTTTATTATAATGTTTTTTCTCATAAGTTTTTTCTTTTGCTATTATTTTTAGCAATATTTTATAATTATTATTTATTCTTGAATAATATAATTCGGTTGGGCGTGTCACATATATACGTATGTATATTTATTTTTTTGGGAATTACTCACATATCTTAAAAACATATCTTTTACATATTGAACATATAAACAATTAATATTATGCATTCATCACGCTTCCCATCATAATAAAGTAGACATACCACCTCATCTCCCTCTCCCATTCACCCTAGGGCAAGGAGGGAGGAGAGGCGTGACCCACTAGAGCCTATCGGGGCCAGCTCAAGATCATTACAATGTACTAAACCACTCCTGCATAGAGAATAGGAAACCAAAAGTGTATCATCCCAGAAAGACTCACCAAAATCATATCCACCTGGATGAAGAAATCGCTTATCGCCCAGCCGCACTCTCAGGATTCATAGTTTGTTATTATGTATTGTATCAAAGTGTCTCAGTCGTATCTACGTCCCTAAGGGCACGTATTGCTATTATTTTTAGCAATATGTTATAATTATTATTTATTTTTGTATAATATAATTCGGTTGGGCGTGTCATATATATACATGTGTATATTTATTTATTTAGGAATTACTTACATATCATAAAAATATTTCTTTTACATATTGAACACATAAACAATTAATATTATGCATCCATCACTCTTCCCATCATAATAAAGTAGACATACCACTTCATCTTCCTCTCCCATTGTTATTTTCTCAATCTCGTGTGCACATCAAGAACGAGTAGGCATGGATCTCGGGGACACCCAAGGGCAAGGAAAGAGGAGAGACATGACCCACTGGAGCCTATCAGGGACAGCCCAAGATCATCACAATGTACCAAACCACTCCTGTATAGAGAATAGGAAACCAAAGGCGCATCATCCCAGGAAGACTCACCAAAATCGTATTCGCCTGGATGAAGAAATCGCTTACCACCCAACCGCACTCTCAGGATTCATAGCTTGTTATTATGTATTACGATCAAAGTGCCCCCGCAGCATCTGCATACCTTAGGGACACAGTATGTAAAAATCTATCAACCTAGCCCTATAAATAACGGGTTGCCTCCATAATAAAGGGGGGTTATTCATTACTGTGTTATTGCCCTCTCTCTCTCTTCCTCGTCTAGTGCTATATTCCTTAGGCGTGTCTCTCAAACATATTTAGATTCAACATCCTAAAAGTGGAATAAGAAGGAGGTAAGTCATCGAGGGAACTCTCACCAACCGGCACGACATCGGAACCCCTGACCTATCGTAAATCTTGAAAGGGACCTCTTCTACATGTTATAGACTAAATCCGACGATTCCCTTGTTCCCTTTTCTTTTTATCAGTTTTATTTTTGATGTTTCACTCGAGGGACGATGCGATCTAATCCCAAGAGCAACTAGCACCCTGACCTTATTGCAAACTATAATTCAAAACTAATCCACTTTTCCACCACGAAACTACGGGTAAAGACAAAAGCTTAGAGAGCAAAAAAGAAATTCAAGATGAAGAAACTACATCTCATAGATTTTTGTTTGATGATTGTGGGCTAGGAAATCTAGGGCTTTTATTTATAGCGTTAAATAGTTGTTGTTGAATGAATCGCTTGCACTAAAAATTTCTTGTCTATATTGCAACCATCGCTATCAAAGAACAAGAAAATCGGAAAACTTTAATATGTACATCAAGAACAAGTCGGAGTGGATCTCGAGGACACCTAAGGGAAAGAGGGAGGAGAGGTATGACCTATCTGAGCCTATCAAGGACAACCCAACTCCATCACAATGTACCAAACCACTCCCGCATAGGGAATAGGAAACCAAAGGTGTATCATCCCAAGAAGGCTCACCAAAATCATATCCGTTTAGACAAGGAAATTGCTTATCACCCGGCCTAGCAGCCTCCCAGCCGCACTCTCAGGGTTTATAGTTATATATTATGTATTGGACCAAAGTTTCCCCGTCATATCTATGTACCTTAGAGGCACATTATGTAAAAATTTATCAACCTAGCCCTATAAATAACACATTTCCTTCATAAAAATGGGTGGGCTATTCATTATTGTGTTATTTCCCTCACACACACACACACACTCTCTCTCTCTATGTCTATCTCCCTCGCCTAACGCTCTATTTCTTGGGCGAGTCTCCCGGACAAATTTAGATTCAACATCTTAAAAGAAGAATTAGTGGGAGGTAAGTCATTGAGGGAACTCCCACCGACGGGCTCGATAAACTCACCATTTCTTTCACAAAAAGACCAGGGCTAAAAGCAATTTAGGGATTTCTAGTCATTAACTTTGTCCAAAAGGTGAGGCCTCAATTGAGGTTGATACCTTATTTAGGCTTTAACTTGACTTGAAATTAGGTCCAAGTATATTCTAGACCAAATGGTGGCTCAAGTTGGTGTTGGATAGGGTTAGAGACTGTGGGAATTGGGGAATTTGATTGAGGAAGTGGTTTTAGATCTCTATGAAGCTAATGAGAGGTTTGGAGGACTTTGAGTGTAAAGTTGTAAAAAACCGTAATTTGGTTGATGAAATTATGGCTATAGGATGAAAGAGAGGGCTTGGAAATGGTAAGAATGAGTCGCTAAGGTCTATGGATTAAGTTTTGGTAGCAAAATCACGTAGTTTGGGTGTGGGATTAGAGAGATTAGGTTGGAGAGCTCTTGGGTTGAGGCCTTTTATGCCATTGGAAGCCATGGAGGAGCTAGTGGATACTATGAGATTTCCTATGAGCTCATTAGAACATGGGAAAAAGGTGGCCAGAAGTTTTATCAGAGGGAAGCTATCTCATTTTTTGAAGTCTGGGGGATGGGAAGCTTCAATGGAGGCAAAGGTGGAATAGAAGGCACTTGAAGGGATTGGGAAGGCAGGGTCTTGGTGGCTGAAAATAGTCTTGGTATATTCTTGATTCCACAAGAAGTGGACTTAGTGTTAGTTTGACCTAGGTACCTTGGGTCTTGGATTTTTGGTGTCATACTTTGTCTTTGTGTTTGTCTTTAGATTTATGTAACCCAAATTTCTTTTTTTTTTCCTTTTAATAGGTTTCATGAGTGTCATGGGTTTGAATTTGGGTCATAGGGTTTAGGTTTTGGGCTTGAAATTTTTGGTTTGGACTTGTGGTTTTATGGGTTTAGTTAAGTTCGATTAACTTTATTACTTTATTAACTATTCCTATTTTAATTTAAAAAAATTTTAATTGGCTTGATTATTTATGATTATCATTTTATCAAATTTATTTTAGATTGATTTAATTTATGTTTGAATCTTTTGTAACTTTTACTTGCTGATTAGGATTTGAACTTTTAGTTAGAGTTTCAATTTTT